ATATAAAATTTTAAAAAAAAAACCCAACTGCACAGGACACTTTTAGACAACAGATAAGTCTGAATGTTGGTGATACCTCAGAAATTTATTTTATGGAAGCTTTCCATATCCTGCAGATTTGAGGTATGCATATGACTGGCTTTTTTTGGTTAAGAGAAGCATTAATCACTTATTTCTGATGCAGTGAGCGTACTTGCTTTACTCTGTTTTTTGCCTTTCTTACACGTAAGACAGTGAAAACTTGGGCTACAAGAGATGCGATGTTTGTGGCCCAGCTGGTCTTGTGCAGAGGATTTAAGTCCGGTGGTCTACAGTTGCGGGCAGTTGCCCATAGAAGGGATGTCCAGGGCACTGGTTGGGTTTGACCAAGCCATGGGGACAAGGTGCTCTACTCTAGTGTACTTTAATTCTCGGGGAGCCAGATGAAAACTTGTTGTGATTTGTACTCAAAGTTCACTTTGGAGTTCAGGTTAGAAAAATCTAGTTGAGTGGATGTTGAAAAATCAGATAAGTTTCCTGGGGTGTTTGCTGCATTTTTCTTTAACGCTTTTTTTTACTTGACTCATTTTTCATGGTTCGTGTCCTGGTGCCGCAGAGGCTGGCGGCTGCCTGGGGCTGGGACGTGGGAGAGCAGTGGAGCCTTCCCTGGGGACACAGGGCTGGGCCTCGCAGCCGGGGCCTGATCCACTGCCCAGTCTGGGAGCCGGGCAGGATGGGGGGCACCAGGTAACCCCAGCTCTGGGCATGGGGCACCTCCCTGGGGCCGGGATGTCAGCATGCGGGTAGGCCCTGCTCAGTGGGGCCTATGGCCAGGCTGGGGAGGGCTGTTGGGAGCTGAGTCTGAGTCTGATGGTCCTGGGGCAGTGACATGGGGTCCTGGGCCCTGGATGGGGCAGGGGGAGCCGCTGGGGGTGGGCAGGGACAATCAGGCCTGGTGATGCCCTCAGGGCCCTCACAATATAAAAGCAGACATATGCTATGTCCTGTCATAACCATAACTAGTAATATGCAATGTGCAAGTAGTTTTCACTGTTGTTCAGTATTACAGTAATCTGATACACAAATGTACATGTAAAACTTGTATGCACTTATGAAAATGGTTAGAATGGTCTATTAAAGTAGGAAAGTGGTAGAGAAATCAACAGTACTACAATATTTTAAAAACATATAAAGCTTTTTTATTTTACAGATAACAGTGTGGTGACTTTCATCTGTAACTGAATATAGTTCTCTTGAAACCGAGACTTCAGGGCTTTTTTAATTGCTCCTAGAGATATCATTAATGTTTTGAGAAATTGAAATATTGATTTGGGCTTGCAGTATTTGGAAGAAAAGAGGGAATCTGCATTTAAACAGAAATAATGTAAATATCTACACATTACTTAAAACCCACCTCCTAATATTCCTTATATGTGTTAATGTTTAGATTAGGATTTGACATATACTGTTGGCAAATACATAGTTGGTGCTTTTTATATATCTAATGAAGGATATATCTTATAGTATTTCTTTTATGCAACTATTACATAATCAGAAAATGCATAAAGCACAAAAGCCACCAGATGATTTTTCATATGGTTAAAAAAATTTATTAAGAGTTTATAACAGACTCAGAAACCACAAAATTTCAATACAAAATGTCAAGCACTTTCTATTTCAACCATTAAGATCCCACTTTTGATGAAATGGCAGTACCAGGTTGGTGTCTTTCTCCTTTGCTTCCCGTAAGAAAGGAGGGAAGCAAACTAGATGTGCTAGTCTGAAGATGAGAGAAAGGGTAAACTCTCCAGGAATGCAGCTCTGATATTTTCAGATCTTATGCTTAATTCAACTTGGAAGCTCAATCCCTTTCCTACTGTAAGTTTAAGGACTGCAGCAGAGCTGGGGATGAGTCCACACTGGCTCTTGCTGTTTGTATACAAACAAAATGCATCTTGCTGGGGAAGTTTGAGATATACAACCTGTTTGCAAACTGTATTGTTAAGGCAAGTGATGTATGCCTGGAAAATTTAGCAGAGTTGAGAAGTCTCAGGCTGTAGTTTTACAACAGTTTTAATCTATCCAAACTGGTAGGACTGACTTTTGATCCTTCTCCAGCATCTCTGATAGTGTGTGTGCAATTCTTATGTGAGCTACTTCAGCTCACTAAACCAACAGAAAGCTACCCACTCTCTTGGATTTGGCTAGGACTCTGCTGTTTTAATGGACTCAAGCAGGTCACTTAGGGTATTAAACAAAGTCCGGGGGAGGTGTAAGGGAAGAGGCGAAGTTATCATCCTAACGCAAGCTGCACATGCACAAATTTAGGCTTAAACTGGAATGGAACTGCAACTGCAGTGAAGTGCAAGCCAAGCTGCCTTCCATATTTCATACTTCATTAGATCATAGAACTTTGGGTCAGTTTTATTTTTTATGCTAACATGATGAAAATCTGTGGTTTCTAGCTCTATGGCTTCTATAGTTTTGTTTTAAATAATGGCAGTTTTCTGAACCTGGAACATGCAGTGTGCACAGACCCTCTTGAGGGTCAAAACTGAAGGAACCATTTGCATGAGTCCAGATGAGGTGGGTATATCGCAGAATATCCTGTCTGGAAGAAATGATGCTTTGCCCTCCTGGTTGGTCCCATAGAGAAGAGTGTTAGTATTACCAATTAGCCAAGGGAGCACTTCTGTACCTTGGGCAGTAGAAATTAAAAGGCTGTATAAAACAGCTGAAGGGATGTAGGTTTAGTCCCAACTCCTTTTACATATGCTGTTCATAACAGCTGTCCACATGTGCTGTACATGTGTTCATATAGATCCAGAAATAAAATCTGGATCTTACCCAGTGTATTAGAAAGAAACCTTCATCTAGTACTCATAGTCATCTTCCAGGTCTTCCCCTGCAGTTGCAGCTTCCAATGCAGCCAGAGCTGCTGCTACTTCTGCATCTTCATCCTCAATTTCTCCATTGATGTCTCTGTGGTTGGGGTGTGTGGGTGCCTGTGCTACAGCCATTGAATGCCCTCACTCAAATTTGCAGAGTCAGTTTTAAAAGGTTCAATACTGCTCTCCTGCATAGGCAAAGATGGAGTTACACAAAGGTTCTGGTCCTGTACTGCTGAAGGCACAGTGTTTTGATCTGAATGTGCACAGTTGACTGAAAAACTATCTTTTTCAACATAGTTCCTGGTTTGATTGCCATTTTGGGGATAATCACCATCTGGCAGTTGTATGGCATTGTTTTGTGTTTCCAGTATTGCACTTCCTTTGAGAAAGATGCTGTCGTCTGCAGACCAGGACTTCCCATCTTGAATACTGTTTGGCTCACTGCAGGCTGCCTTCCTCTGACTGCCTGCCTCTAGGTCAAGCTCTTGGCCAGACCTATTTAATTTGGTGTGTAAGTCTCTGTTGCTGGCTGAAGGAGACTCTGCTGACTGGCTGGAGGGTCCCTGTTCACTGGCTTCTTTCACTGGGTTTGTGTTGGGATTGAGCATGGGGTGCGCTCCAGTGCAGGAACTGCCACCATTGGCTGCAACATCGAGCTTTGCAACACACTTCACAAGGCCATCCTCTTGAAAATCATTGCTTTTGTGGTTGCAGAGAGGGTTTTTTGTGCTATTTACCTGGGGTTTATTTTCTGTTCTGTTTAGCTCATCTTTCTGGAATTCACTTTTGTGTTCTTGAATTTCACTGTTCTCTTTGAATTTGGCTTTATTGCTGCCTTGCTCATTGCGTTTGTAGCTGTTTACTTCATGAATGCATCCAGGCGATTGTACTTCTTCTGGATCAAAAATATAGCTGGAGTAAGGAAAATTTATAGAGGAAATGTTAATTATGCTGTTAATCAATATAATTAGAAAAAGAATTAAGCTTAATTTTTAAGATGGAGATGTCGAGGAGCTGGTGTCTCTAAGCTTTACCTGGGGCCCTGAGAATGGGCTAACCAAATGGATATGCTGAACTGTGCTATTGTCTCCTGGGACTGACCATAACTAACCCCTGTAGTGAGATTCACCAGGAGCATAAGGAGGATGTCAGAGAACCTCGTGCTGGTTGTTGCATGTTTCCAGCTTTATTTTTTATTTTCACTGGGGGGGTGGCTGATTATACAATGAATAGACATCACATATATTGTTAATTAATGTCCTCATGTAGCTGCTAAAATATCTCCCTTTTTTTCCTTGGTGTTCTTCCTTTCAAGTCTTTTTGTCCTTTTAAAATTTTTGTCCACTCCTTTTTCCTTTCTTAATTTTTTTCTCTTGCTGCTAACTTTTCCTTGACTTATTTATTCCAGAGCCTCTCTCTCTTCATCTCCCCTTTTTCTCTCCTAGCACCAGTTTTCTTTCCCCCTTACCTGTTC